ACCTAAGGGGGAGACCCACCATGCAGACAACAGACAGACCGGATTTAGACACCGCTTGCTAATGGGGAAGAGTTGAACTCGGGTCACCAGGATTATAGTGTGGTGGTGTGGTCACCACAGCCGCCAACTCCTCCCCATCTCTCTCCCTTCCTAGCCCTCTCTCCATTGCACTGTCTCTCACACACAACGCACACATACCCAGTGGGAAGCCCCCTTTATGGGGTGGCTCGTTAATCTAAAAGGAGACATTATGACCAGATGGAAGCACCCCGCCCGATGGTGTGGGGTGGCGGTAGCTTGCAGGATTCTCATTACGGGGACTAGGGGAGGGGGCATTAGACAGGGAGAGCATGGAGTTATATACTACTTCTAGATTCTACAAAACAAAGAGTATGAGTATTATATATTACTGGTGGGTTTTTTTGCGGTTCGTGCCCTATAGCTTCTCAGATGTGTTTTGGGCTTGTTCCACTGAAGAACCCGCCCAACACACGGAGCAAAAGCTTCTGTTTTAGACGATTTTGTTTAGATACTACGTTAGCAAGTGGTGCACAAACATAAATAACAAAAGACTCAACACACGTGTTTGGGCAATGGTCCTTCTTCGTGGCAGAGAGGTCATCTGTTGGCTATGATTAGGGGAAATTACATGATGTGTCACCGATTACTGTATATATTGTCAATTGGGGCAGTGCTTTCGACACATGTACTGTTTCTGGTTTTATTTTAGATCCTCCGATATATGTACGTATGGCTTATGCCTGAAGTTGTCCGGGAACGATGTCCGAGATTTCTGAACTTAGTCGCTCAAGAAGCTTTCCACCACGTGGCACGAAAAACATTGAACAACGGTGGCACACGACACACGGTACGGACCCGACGGCAAGTCGGAGAGCGAGAGTGTGGGGTTGGTGCAGGCAAGTGTTGGTGGCCACATGGACATTGAAAGGAGGCAGCCTTGGGAGGAGGGGGGTGCAGTGGTGGTGGTGGTGGGGATTGTTGTTGTCGGGTCACACTATACTATAGAGTAGAGGGAGTGGTGATGGGAGCGGTGCAGGGGTCATGGGGCCAGGGGCCCTGCTTGTGGGTTGCTGGCTCATGCGCGGTGTGTTTGTGTAAAGTTCCATGTCAGCACTCATAACGCTCATTGGTGTTACAAGCCTCATCAATTAAATCAATTTCCTTCATTTAACCAGGCGAGAGCCGATTGAAATCCATTGTAATGTTCTACTTGCGATGGGGAAACATTGGTGGAAAAGCAATACAACGCAAGTTAACTCGTCGTGTTTTTCATAACCACCGGCTGAAAGAGGGCCATTGCCCCCCCCCCCGCCCCCATAAAACCGAGCCTAAAATATTGTTGTTGTTCAAAGGCAGTGTTTATGATGAATGTGGCCATGTGTTTGTGCTCGTGTACGCCTGCCAACAGTCTCGTTTTATTTTTTTGTTTGACTTGGTTACGGTATTTATGCTGGGCAGTAGGTATCGTCGGAATTTTTATGTTTTACTCCATTGTAATTAATAATAATTAATCTTATGAAAACCTCCCTAGGCAATGTCAGTTTGGGGGAAGGGGGTTATTCTGAACATACTTCACCACGTTGGCCAGTGCGGATGGAAGGGGAACCGTTAGGATTTTTAACATTTATTTTTGCAACCTTGAAGAAATGATGCTTGATCATTTTGTTCTGGGAAGCTAAAACAGTTTTAATACGCATCTATGCGGAGACACAGAACGGAGTTATGTTTATAGAGCGTGGCATACTGAATTCACGAACATTTATTTACAAAAAATCGTGATGAAGACCATAACAATGACAAACAATGGACACCACTTGTGAAAGCTGTCACGTGGCCTTTGTTCCACACTGTTGGAGAGCGCTTTTGGTAATTCCCTGTAGAAATTCTCAGGCGTCTGTGCCGACCCTCGCATCCTCATCATCAGCAGCTATGCTAAATCCACTACTGGATGAAGGCCCCCCCCCCCCCCCCCCTCAAGCCATCACCATCATGATCCCGCGATGAAACAACTGCCTAGCACCTGCAGACGAGCTTATTTAATCGTTCTGCAGTACATTTTGACTTAAAACTTTCGTGACTGCAGGAATTCATATTATTTGTTTCTTTCGGTAAAGCCATGTAGATAGAAGAAAAGTAATAATAAAACTACAGTGAATGAAAATACAAATTATACAAATAATAAAACACAAACCATTAATGTAGACTGTAGCCAGGTTCTTAATCGGAGTGAGTGTACTGGTAGTCTATAATGTAGACTGTAGCCTGGTTATTAAGCTGGGTGAGTGAACTGGCAGTCTATAATGTAGACTGTAGCCTGGTTATTAAGCTGGTTGAGTGAACTGACAGTCTATAATGTAGACTGTAGCCTGGTTCTTAATCGGAGTGAGTGTACTGGCAGTCTATAATGTATACTGTAGCCTGATTATTAAGTTTGGTGAGTGTACTGGCAGTCTATAATGTAGACTGTAGCAATGGTTATTAAGCTGGGTGAGTGTACTGGCAGTCTAATGCAATTAAGAACCAGACCACAGTCTACATTATAGACTGCCAATACACTCACTCCGATTAAGAACCAGGCTACAGTCTACATTAATGTTTTTAAATGTTTTTATTTGTATTCACTTAATTTTATTATTATAATGTTTCTATCTACGTGACTTTACCGAAAGAACCAAAGAATACGCTCTGCAGTATTTCCATGGTGAACGTCCTCTTGTATGTATGCACCGTATGTTGAAACTTCTTTCGCACCGTACGTAACCAACCGTGCTAATGGGCACGTTTCCTCCCCTGGCTGAGCCAATGTCATTATTCTGGACTACCGGTCATCATCACTTCTCGCGACGTGTCACTAGAAGGGACTCGTCAATCTGTGGTCGTGGTGACTTATTATAATGTTAATGCCGGATTTAGTACGTGGTTGTGAGTGTTGTAGCGTTTTTTCTTCAATTAAAATTTGTCATTTATAGCAGGTACTGTGTTTCTCATACAACGACAATTGGGTAGGTCACAAATGCAAATCAAAGACACTGCCTGTTTAAGGGAAGATGGCTTTTGGGCACAGCATCTCACGGTTAGGAGGAAGGTAATGGCTGATAGACGAAGAACTTCGATGAAATGGAACCGATGGAGAGGATTTGCCCGCGAACATGACCACCCACAGAGACTGATCGATGAAATCAGCTCATATGCAGGAGATGGATTGTTCGACTGCAGGAACCATGGCAGATGGGAAGATGGCTTTAGGGAGGCCTTCATTCAGCACGTGATGATTATTATGAAGAAGGGGGTAGTGCAGAAATTGTACACGGAGGAATAGGATGAGTGTATGTATGTTCCGTATGTTTGACTTCTTTCGCACCGTACGTAGCCAACCGTGCTAAACGGAGGTGTGGCGGAAGGACAAACTAAACGCAACACGCGGTTCTCAATAAATGAGTTTTCAATATTGATTTAAAAGTGCATATCTTCCTACAATCGGAAGTGTGTGATTTTATGCGGTGTAGTGAGAGGGTTAATGAGTGATTAACGGTGCATTTTAGTGTGTGGTTAAGTGACTAGTTAACGTATGGTTTAGTGTTTGCCTTAACGTTTACAGCGTGGTTTAGTACGTGTTTTATAAGTGGCTATAGAGTTAGTGTGTAGTTTAGTGAGTGGATTATGGGGTGGATTCATGGTGGGTTCAGTGATTGTGTTGGTCTTCAGTGAGTGGTTGTGTAGAACTGTATTGACAAATCTTGTGATATAAGAGCTACATCATCAAGTATGATTTCACGAGTTGTCGCCACATTAATATAACGCAAGAGTAATGACAAAAGCACTACTATACTGTAACACTAATTAGTGTGACATGGCAGGATCTGCACTTGAATAGGCTGTTTCACATTGCACACTATACAGTAAAATAGTAATGCAGAACAGCAGTAATTATAAGATATTTCAATACTATACAGGATAGAGTACTGTAGTATTAATACCATAACCGATGTGATGTAGCCGCCTCTTGCTATACTGTGCACATTTCGTGTGTCAATAAACTACAATACTAGAGGACACACATACTATATATTATTGTTTTATGTTGCAGAGGGTAGAGTTGGGATGAAAGGCAGTGAACAAAGTACAGTATCTGAATAGGCGAATGTTTTGTGCGCATAACAATAGTAGCAATAATTAGGCTTATGGTAATACAATAACAATAGGCACCGCGCTAAAATACAATGGGCAGTTCATGGACGCAGCCTCTGGCGTTCCTGTGATGCGGGAGCGGTGGCGCAGTGGTTAGCGCCAATCGATGGCCAACGTCTCTGAACCGCTCTTGGGCCTCCTCCTCCTCCCCTAGATCGACTCGGCCTTAAAACGAGAAGCTGGTACGGTGTGTAATCAACGCTGGGGGGAGATATAAAAGAGGCGGTAGTGAGGCGTGGTTGCTGACCCCCCCCCCCCCCCCTTCGTAGGTGTTGTCGTGCCGGTCTTAATAGGTGCTCGCTAACATCAACCCCTGTCCATTCCACACACCCCCACCCACCCCAACAGTCCGCTAAGGCTAGACGGGGCAGCTTTGTCTTTGTGGGAGAGGGCAGTGGGGGGGTGGGCGGGGAGGGGTAGGGGTGGGGGGGTAGGGGAGGGTGGGGGGGTAGGGGAGAGTGGGAGGGGTGGGGAGGAGTGGGGGGGTAGGGGTGGGTGCAGGGGTAGGGGTGGGGGTGGGGAGGGGTGGGGGGTAGGGGAGGGGTGGGGAGGGGTGGGGGGGTAGGGGAGGGTGCAGGGGTGGGGAGGGGGTGGGGGGTGGGGAGGGGGTGGGGGGTAGGGGAGGGGTGGGGAGGGGTGGGTGCAGGGGGGGGGGGCCGGCTTCGCACATGAAAGGCACCGCACATCCGGGGCCCTGCCCCATCTCTCCCCCCACTCTCTCTCGACTCCAGGGAGCTCAAACTCCTCCTCCTCCTCGTGCTGCTGCTGCTGCCTCCCCCCTCCACCTCGCCCTGACACGCACGGGGAGAGAGAGAGAGGGGAGAGAGGCGGGCAGAGCTGGTTGGGCCAGTGAGCCAACACGAACAATCGCCTGCAAGCACGCAACAAACTTCCACCATTCAGAAAAAAAACCACCACAACAACGATCATTGTCGTACATACAGACACACACAACAACAACACTACCACCGCCACCAATCTTGACCAGGAGGAGGAGGACAACCACCGACGAGGAGGAGAAGACCAACCACCACCACCACCATCTTCTCGCCGAGGAGATATGGAGCCGTTTCTCATTGTGGCACCAAACCGCGCCGTCGCTCCTGGGCTGATCCCAGCTGCATCATCGCCAACCACCACGCGTGGCCTTTTATTTTCTAGGCAGTCATAAGCGTATTCACTTTCCCTACGGCGTGGGCTATTTCTTTTTTATTTTAAACATTTATTTAAACTTTCCTCGCGGCCACAACGCGTTGTGTGCGCCCGCAAGGCCGTGCGAGAGAGAGAGCGAGCGAGCGGTGAAATGAGACTTTTACTTGTTTCTAGTAGCGAAGAATAACTTCAGCGAATGTTAACTTCGTGACTTTAATCGTCAACGCATTGTTTTATTTTACAGTTTTTTTCTTCCGTTTAGTGACTATTTAAGTGGCGAGTTTTTGTTGGATCTTGGTTTTATTTCGGGAGGGGGGGGTTATTTTTGTCTGGACCACAAAAGTCAACAACTTCTTCATCATCTTCATCATCATCATCCTCCTCGACAATGGGGCCCAGGAGATGCTTGATACTTCGGCTGATGACGGTGGTGATGATGTGCCGACGAGCGGGTAAGCAAGGGATGTTGATTGTGGTGTGGTGATGGGAGGGTGATGTTGGCACTGGTGATGTGTGTGTTGTTGATGGTGATTGAAATGGTTGGTGATTTGATGGTGTGGTTATTTATAATGGTGCTTTTGTGGTGGTGTAGAGAGAGTTGTGTTGGTAGTGGCGATGATGCTTGTGAAGGTGATAATTGCATGGTGTTCGAGGTGAAGTGATAGGGTGGTCAATGAGTGGTAATGGTGAAGAACATTGTGGTGGTGGTGGTAATGATGGTGGCGATTATTGTGTATGTCGTGGTACTGGTGATGTGATTGTGGTGATGGTGGTGATGTGATTGTGGTGATGGTGGTGATGTGGGTCTCGCAATGGTTGGTGATGTTGGTTTTGTGATGCCATGTGATGATTTGCTGGTATTAATGCTTCTGAAATCTGCTAGTTAAGTGATGGTGGCGGTATTAGAATCGGAGGGTGGTGATGGTTGTTTGATGGTAATTGTGGTGTTTGGATGAGCTGGTTGAACCGAGGTAGTCATGGTCGTCATGGTAATGTGATGCAGTTGTGCTGATAGTGACTTGGACAGGGGTGCAAGAGCAGATTGATGGCCCTGATATGCTGATGGTGGTGAAGATGCAGAAGGTGGCGCGGATAGGTTGTTCAAAAGAGTGGTCATCGTGGTAAACGTTTTGATGAACGATGGTAGTGAACTTACTGTGGTTATGTTGATGATTGTGGTGATTGTAACTACGGTAAAAGGGTGTGTATCGGTAAGAGGGATGATGGTGAAGATGTTACACGTGGAGGAGATATTTGAATGTGGATGGCCTGGAAGATGGTAACGGTGGTGATATGATTGTAATAATGATTTTCTGATCATAATGCTAATTTTGGTGATGTTGATACACTTATTGATAACAATATCGATAGATAATTACCGTGTGATGGTTATAATACTGCAATGCTATGATTTTTTTGGTATTGTGGTGGTGATGATGATTGTGGTGATTGATGATCTTGGTTACATTGATGGTGATGGTGTGTCATGGTCTGAACTGTTATCTCTTGTGAACTAGAGTCAAATGTGATCAGAGTGGACATGCTCACTGTGTGATGGAGGAGTGAATTGGTGTGAGCTACAAATCGCTTGCCATATGTCACCCTCAAAGACAATTGGCCATTATTACGCCCCAATACGGTACTACATTAGAGTATAATGGTTTTCATCATATGTTTAAGAGTGTTGTTTTGCACTGTAATCTACTATATTAGTACACTGCACATTTAAATGTGTATGGCTTCGTCTAGTAATAATATCCTGGAAGGTTGTTTTCCCAGGAAGTAAACATTTCTGGCAAAAATTGTTGCAATTACAGCAAATGTATAGTAGACATTATTGTGCATTGATTAATGCATCATAGATTTTTTAAAAATATAAAACATTGAGTAATGTAGTTAATGGGCATACCATTTTAATGTTAATTTTGTGCTGGCCAGAAAGAAACCATTACTTTATACGTACACACTATAAGACATACTTTGTCTTATAAAGTTAATTGAAGAGAAATTAAAATGAAAAACATTTTTTAGTTAGTGACTTGTTTTCGGATGGTTAAGTTTGGCATGTTTTTGAAATTTATATTTACAGCCTTTTGTTAATCCAACGGTGGATGTGTTTGACTCGTGGTTTGCCTTACTATACTTCACTGGTCATTTCGGGTTGGTGAATTAGTCCTTATCAAGAAGCCAACCTATAATGGAATAGTTTGTGGTGAGTTTGCTGTCTGCTCGGCGACTCTGTACCACTGACTAGTTTAATAGTATTTTGTTTAGGCACTGTGAGGTGGTACTAAAATCCTGTTTACATCCCTGAGAAAATGTTGGACCTTTCCCCATTCATATGGCCGGATTAGTCTACCCATTGACTTATTTGGCCATAACCACTACGGTATCTGTTTTGCCACGGCAGTTCGTGTTGGCATACGAGACAGTCGTATAAATCACACGGAATGCAACCAAATTTCATCACGTCTCAGAAGATTAGGCAGGCTTGAGCTCCGATACACTTGGATGGATGGCCACCATTCGCAAACACCAGGTTGTCACAGTACTGTGGGGCCACGTGATGGGCAGAAGATGTCAGCACGGCAAAATCCGTTGCACTTTACCCCTATGTCCCTGCGTCAATGTTCCCCGCTTTCACCAATCTGCACTGACCAGCATGGTGAAGTATGGTCGAACAATCCCAGTGACACACATGGCATGGGGAGGCTCTCATCCTGCAGAGGATTCACAAAAGGGGATGTACATGTATTTTATATATACTGTACATATTCATGTCAGTGGCAGAGTGTGATTAATGTCTTTTTGGCAAGTTATGATAACCATTTTTTGTTGGGTATACGGGAGCCTACAAAGTCGTTGTGGTAGGAAAGGTCACCATCTCCAAATATTAAATATTAATTCGGATCCAAAACACTTGACATCAAGAAAGATGATAGTTTACTATGCCTCTCTGAAATGTTAAGTCCACATCTGAAAGGGTAAAATAAATGAATTGTCATACATGTAAGTGTACGTCAACCGTACGGATGTGTTCTCAGGTTTTTACCGCGTGTTCTTCGGAGCCCTCTAAATGTTTCTGTGCCCTAGCGGAAGCTTATTTTAGGAACTCAATTTTGCGGATTTGAAGGCGCTCCCACGGCACATGGAGCGAAGCATCAGACATTTTGCAGAACAATACGTGGTTCAACCCAGAAAACCTATCGGAAAGCTATACAGCATAACTGCGAAAACCGCCGGTACTTTAAACCCCTTCCTGAGACCTCTAACATTTGGCATTTAGATGTATGTTCTCTAAATTATACACTGCCGTGTATGTATACAATATAACAAATGTTATACAATACACCACTGGGCAATTGTTTTTATGTTATGCATGGCTTGCCCAGAGCAATCTTTAATAAAAACGTAACTTTTTTTTATTTATAGCATCTAAAAACAAGTAACATTCCTATGTGTGTTGTGGAGAGTTATTCACCGTTGCTCCTCGTTTTAAAAGTATAAAGTTTACAGAGAATAACATTGTTTTGTGTCTGCATTGAGAGAGAGAGAGGGAGACAAAAATGTTGCCATAGTCTAATTTCCAGAGACCTCCTCTCCTCAGCCATTGTGATCTACAAGGGTCTGCAACAGGGCCATAAATAATGCTCTGAAAGAGCATTGTGCCTTTTGAGACCCAAACGCCTTGTTTTATTCTATGGGCCCCGAGAAGAATTGTTACCATGCGAATTGGCAGAAGTATAGTGGTAGCAGTGTTTTTTTTTTGCCATCGACATCAGCCCATGGTCAATATCTACTGCTAGATGAAGGCTTCTCCAAGCTACTGGTTACTGTATTATATCGCGATTATGTAATGTACCGTATTGTATGGATTATAAGACGCACATTTAGTCGCCGTATGTGTTTGCTCGCAAATATGGGGGGGGGGGCATATTCTAATCCAGTAGATGTGCGTGTATGTGACCAAAATTGTATAATTTTGGCACTGTGCACAGGTTTCAAGTTGTGGGGTGCGTCTTACGTTCCAAAGTGCCTTATCTGGAGCAGCATGCCGTTAGTAATCCACCCAGTGACTGCACGTGAGCTGGTTTCGGTGCTGCGAAGGATTTCCTCTCGGTCACGTTCCATTCCTTGGCTGCCATTCCAACACTATACTCGACTCACGGCTGTCATCCCTTCCTAGTAGCAACATGCCGTGGCCAAGCTCACTTTTCTTAAGTGCTTTATATGGGCAATGAATGTTGAATGATATGCTATCATATTTAAGTGAGTTGGCATGGGCTCAATGGATCACACTGCGTGATGAACCCTGTGACTGGAGTTCGTTTCCCAGCCATGGCTAACAGTGGCATGGCCGACGATTCAAGTGTAGGTTGGATTACTGACAAATCATCTCTTTACTTCATATAATAACTTCACTATCCCGCACTGGCCAGCATGATAAAGTACAACTCCCCACACCAGTTGCTTGACAAGTGGCTGTAAATAACTGTTCCCTTAATTTTTTTTTTTTAAATAACATCCGTGCGGCTCTTGTTGTTCAAAGAACGGGACTTTAACCTACTCTTTTTTTTTAGTATGGGACAAATTAAATATCCGCCCGTTCTGAACAGGGGGGGGGGGGGACCCCGTGTGGACTATTTTGACAAAACAAAGTGTGCCGTACCTTGGGCCCGCGCTGGTTTTCTGCCAAGATCCGAGTGTGCTTACGACTTCATAAGCGTGCTGCTGGGATAAACGGCCCGGCAGCATCAGCAGCACACGCACCGCGCTCTCTCAGCCATGTGTGTGCCGAGCCCCTGGCTCCTGGCCAATCCGCACTAGGTCACCACACACGCACACGCACGTACACAAATAAAGACAAAGAACCCCCCCCACACACACACCCTTATAGCCTTAGCAGACTGTTTGGGGCAAGTGCTGTTTGCGAGCACCTATGAAGGCTGGCACGGTACCCGATGATGGTGATGGGTGGCCAGCACCACGCGCCCGGCCGCCTTTGTCTCCGCAGTGGCGATGAACTCATTTGAGGCTGAGTCAATCGAGTGGGAGGCTCATGACCGGTTCAGATAATTGTCACTGGGTGTTGGCCTTGAGCGGGAATTGAACTCGGGTCGCCGGATTCGTAGCGAAGCGCGCTAACCGCGACACCACCACTAGCCGCTAAGCTACTACGCACGCACACACCCGGGCATGCACGCCACATGCGTTGTATTTGTAATGTATTACATTACCACACAACAGTAATACAGTAATGGCAAGCTGCCTTAGTGTGTAATGGTTAGTACACTGAACCATCCAAGCCAGAGGTCGCTGGCTCGATTTAATCACCTGGCATTTCAGTTTAAACAATAGGCAATATTCTTTAATCGTTCCCCCCCTCTCTCTCTGTCCACCCAGTAGTATAAATGGAAACAACCGCAGTTGATTGGCAGGTCACATGTTCTGG